AGGAATGCCCATAAATGTTTTCTTTGTTACTAGAATATGCTCTGCATGGCCCCAGGCCTCAGGTAGAACACAAATAATCAGATACATGGAAGTTGCAAGACAGTGATTTAACACAGTCACAAAAAACCCCCACCTCCCTTGGAACTGGTTGATCAATCTGACCTGAATAATTAACTGAATTATCCACAGCTCAGCACTTTATGCAGTCATTTTCATCAGTGGAAAAATTAGTGAAAAGCTAGTGCAGTTACCCTAAATCATAATGCCTGTTTTTATATCCAATTCCTTTTGGTATAAATGCCTACCCAAGGATGAGCACAACAAAAAATTAAGACCATGGCTTGTTACAAATGTAGCTGAGCTGGTAAAAAATTTACAGTGGAAACTTCTGCTGTCAGAAAAAGGTATTTCATCAGAACCAAAACTACCTAAGGGAATGTGTCATTCTCCATGAAATTTCAATTTGGGAGAAAAAAAGTGAAGAAAAAAATGATTGGGTTGACATTCCATTCAGCACGTCTGTAGTATAAAGCTGTGATTTTTTTCCCACAATAACTTTTAATTTAGAATTCTGTTAATATATTGACAAGTATATTAAGAAAAGGTTGAAAACATGCACCTCAACAATATTTTCCTGGAATGTCATGTTGTGGAAAATTTGAAATTATTTTAGTTTTGTTTTGAATTGGAGCAAACTTCAAAATCATGGAATTCCCAAGAAATAGAAAATCTTGTGGTTGCACAGCTCTGGTCTTAAGAAGGAGGATGAGAATAACCCAAAGAGTGTAGGCAGGCCAGGTTCTTTGGGTAGATATGATATCTTTTATTAGACCAGCTGAGAAGTTGGAAAAAAGTTCTTTGCAAGCTTTCAGGCACAAGAAGGGTGACTGTGCCCGAAAGCTTGCAAAGAACTTTTTTCCAACTTCTCAGCTGGTCTAATAAAAGATATCATATCTACCCAAAGAACTTTGCCTGCCTATGTCCTTAGACCAACACGGCTACAACCAAAAACCCAGCAGAAGTGTAGTGCATTCTCTATGAACTGTGATAATATTAGCAAATGGTACTGAATTGTGAACATTTTCAAGACATCCACAAAAATGTCTGAATGCTCTCAAATAATGAAGAATACAAAACCTTGATTTGTGGTGAGCTGAAATTGAGGCTTTTATGTATAAAAACTGTTTGCAATTTTTAACTAGCTCCCAGCCTCTGTTACTAATACAATCTCAAATTTTGGTGAGCAGTTTGCCTTCAAACAAGCTACACCACCCTATAAACCATATGAATAGAAAGCAAAGAGGCCTCCACTACCCAAGCAGATGAAGTCTGTTGAGGAAGATGTTGCTTATGAATGCATGCAACGTGCCAATTATTTTTATGGCAATTTATGAAACTTTTTTCATTTTCATCAAAATTTCTTCTAAAAAATTATTCAGTTTTTCAATAAGGGATTGAAAATTAAATGATTTTCAGAGAGGGTTTTTTTCCTTGTAAAACCTGCAGTTTATAAAAAAAAAATTGAGTTTGTGTCCTTTTTCATTTTGAAAAGAAGGACAAATTAATCAAAAATTATTTTCGTTAATATTTTTGATTCTAACAAACAAAAAGTCCTGCTCTGCTGCAATTACATTCTGACAGGAAAATGTTGAGCCACTCTAGAAAGCACATATAATAGCTCAACAGAAGAAGGGGGCGGGGAGTAGCCATTCAATTGCTATATTCCCACTGCATGAATGAAGGGAGTTTTTAAAAAATGCGTTTTCCATTCTCCATCATGCTTTACTCGTGGTAGAGGCATTCCTTCCTGGTAATTTCCACTGCAGCCAGAGAGACTGCCTCTGGACAAACGTTATCAGGAACAGGCAGATTTAGTCTTTAGAGTTGGTGATGGATTTAGCGAAGTGTCCCTTATGTTTGCCCTTGTTTAAGTAGAAATATAGTCTATTGGTGAGTTTTTCCCTGACGTATCTAACACTTTTATATTGCAGTAATGCTACTTTATGTTAAAACACAAGCTGTTTTATGTCAGTGAGCCAGCTGGACTCAAGCAAAGCCAAGACGTTCAGAGCCAGGGCTTTTTAAATCACCCCATTTCACCCAAGATTGTAGAGCTACAATTGGAAAAGAAAATGCCAATGGAAGCTGGCTCCCTTCCCCCTTCCCTCTGATCTTGTTCCAGGGTCCTGGCTGCTCTCTGTGGACTCCGAGAAATTGCCTTAACTCCATCCCATGTCATGGGAAGTGGGAGACGGATGCCTTTCTACACCAGTGTCCATGAAAGTCAACTTGAAAGAAGAACTTCTGTAACTCCTACCTTGCTGCCTAGCCCACCTTCCTGCCTTACGCAGAGCAAAGGAAAGAGAAAGCTGGAGGAAGACTTCCAAACCTGGTTGTTGTTCGTCCGTCTGGGTCGTACCTCGCTCCTGTTAAGAAAAAATCCAGATAATTCACCCAAGCCCTTGGCCCTTTTATACAGCTCTGACTGATCAAGACCCCGCAGTCTGCCAAACAGAGCCATATTGTGAAAACAAACATCATTCAAGAGGGATATTTTGATGAAAACTTGTTCTGCTCATTATGGCTGATTGAAAGCGTTTAGACAAATACTCTTGGTGGTACTGCCAGTATGTGAAGATTATGTTTGCTAAACAAGGAGAATTGTACTAAAGGAATTGCTCTATGTGCTATCATGTCTTCCCCCAGTGTGTGTTGGATGACTTCTCCACCTTTGTGCTTTCCTGATTTTGTGCCTGAGCAGTTTTTGTCCAACTTGTTCCAATCCATTGAGCCTTTTCAAAACCCACCTCAAAAACCCCTTTTGCTGTGATAGCTACAGAAAAAAAATCTTGACCAGTGTTAGGCTGCTTGTGTGCTGAGGTAATTGCCTACTTTGCTGACAAATATTGTTTCTTTGGTGCTTATTCCCTGGTGTAGAGAGTACTTTGCTGATAAATATTGTTTCTTTTTTTCCCTTGCACTCCCCAGTCTGTATGTACTCCCCATTTGCCTCTCATCTTATACGTAGACTGTAACTGCTATTGCCAGCCACCAGCAATGGGAGTGCAGGATACAGCTGCCTTTCCACTTGTCGTTAAGGGGTCATCACATTTGTGTTCTGTGAAAAACACTAGCTTCTAAGGGCCAAGATGTTGGTTTTAATTCATAAAGTTCTCCAATTTGGCCTAGTTAATTATTCATTAATGAGTTTAGTTAATCAAAGCCTGTTTGCATTTTAAGAATGGAGGATTCAAGGAGAACAAGCAGAGCATGTGAGTGAAACTTGGAGGTCCAATACATCCTGGAGGGGCAGTTAGATCTCCCATTTTATTTCTTTTTTTTAAACAAAACAAAACCTTAGGAAACTTCTAGAGCTCATGCTATAATTTCTATTCAAAAAGGAAGTTCACATAATTGCAGGGGGGAGGCAGGTACAACTATACCCCAATTCCCCTCCTCTCATATGCGCTGAGACTGGGCCATCAAGTACAGTGCCTAGGTGTTACAAGCTTCCACATCGTACAATTCCTTTCAGACGCTGCTCAAGTCCCATCTGAAAGCTTGTTGGGTATTTTTGCACCCAGCTTCTTTTGGGAGGTTGTTCCAGTGTTGCCCTTCATATTAAATAGCTCCCGTCCCTCTTTGGTGCATATTCCCTGGTGTAGAGAGTAGTCATATTCCCTCTTGGCTTTCACTTTGCAGCAGTAAATAAGCCAAACTTTTGGTCTCTTCTCATAAAATAGGCTGTCCATTCCTCTGGTCTTCATAATTCCAACTCTGCACCTGTTCTTCCATCTCTCATGAGCAATAATTACCAAAACTGTCTCCCCAGTGCCTTCCACAATGGTAATGATCCTTCACGAACTGTACTGGAAATATCATAGGGTCGCATTTGGCTTTCTCACAGATGCATCTCATTCACGGTTCACAGCTATGATATCAAGCTAGCTCACCCACATCATCCTCTATCTCTGTAATTTCCAGCTCATGAGCATCCAGCATATCACATAAATTCTTGCTGGTGGTCTGTGAGCGCACTTTGTACTGTTTTATTTTATGTAATTTCATTCAGGCCACTCTAAGAATATCCAGGTTTTTCTGCAAAATCTTCCAGTCCTATGCTGTACTAACAATGCTCCCTACCTTTGTATCAGTGGTTCTTATTAGCTCTCACTCACCCACTCACTGGCAAGGTCATTTGTGAAAACATTACAAATATCAGCTCCAACACCAAGTTTTTGAGAAGCTCCTCTAGTTACCTCCCTTTAGCACAATCCACTCTTGTTCCTGCTTCAGCTAATTCCTCAGTCTCCTTCTGATTCTTGTACTAATCCCCACCTTCTGATTAATTAATAATTTTCCAGGTAGCACCGTATCAGATACTTTACTAAAGTCTGAATAGATGAGATCTCCCACACTTCCCTTTTTAGAAAATCAGATATCTTATCAAAGAACAATATTAAAATGGCCTGGCATGACCTCCCTTTGGTAAACCCATGTTGCATTTTTTCCACTTTCCATGTACTTACATTTAAGAGCAAGAATATGTAAAGACATGGACCTAAAGCCTTGTTTGCAACCTAGGTCAGATTAAGAGACATTTAGTTGCCCAGATCACTTCCCCCCTTTGTTCACACATGTTCTACATTTGCTATTCTCCAGATACATGACACCACCCCCAACTTGGCATATTCATTACTGGAAATGCTATTTCATGTGCCAGTGGTTTCAGGATTCTGAAATGAAAATTAACTAGTCCCTCCAACTTCAGTACCTTGACTCTTGGGTTTTGTTTGAACCTCAGTTGAGGTCATTTCCCATCTTGTCTTTGCCCCTATGTTCACCATCCTTGCACTTGATAAGAACAGAAGCATTGCATAGTAGCTCCACTTTTCTCCTTGTTCTCATATTTACATAGCTGAAGAAACTGTCTACTAGATAGTTTTTGCACCAAATACCTAACCAAACATTTACTTAAAGAGATTGCAATTCTTCCCTGCAGTCGAGTCCCTGAGCTCTTTAGTTAAGTTGGCTTTATTGAGAACCTTCAGTATAGAAATATCTTTGTTCAAATCCCCTTGAAAAGTCTTGAAAATTTTCTAATGCAGAGCTGGGCACTTTACAGATAGGCCTTCTTGCATTCCCTTTTGTGGGTATTTAGTTTAATATGTTGATTGTTCTTACTTTGTCTTGCGCCCAGGTCCATAGATGGGCATACAAACATGACTTCATAAAATAATTGTATATAAAATAAAGCCTATCTTATTATGTGAAAAGTGAAAGGAATGGACAGATTTCACTTTTGTGACTATCTTTCCTCATCAGAAGCTGTTTAAATATAGCATTTTCTTCAAGAACAAAAATAAAAATAAAAGGTGCATAAGATGAAGTGCTTCCAGTCCCCTTTCCTGTTGACCACAGAAGTTGAATCCAGCAATAATTTAAAATTGCTTCTCACTGAACAGTCTAGGTCCTCCGAGATAATGGGACAGGTTCTCAGCTAATGAGATTCTAGCTCAGTGATTCACAACCAGGGTGCTGTGAGATGTTTTCAAGGGGGTGTTACCCAATATTAGAACTGTTAGGTATACAAACATGATTCACAAGATAAATACAGAGATGTCAAATAGGAATCCATAGTGTCAAAAATATTCTGACTTTCTGAGTGTTTTGCAACAGCAGAATTGCTCTATTATTTTTCTTTAGTCAAAAAACAAGTGAGAACTAAGAGCTGGCATTTTCCAAGGGGTGTCTTGAGTCTCATGCGGGGTGTCTTGAGTCTAAAACAGTTGAGAACCACTGTTATAGCTCAAGGCAGCAATGTACACCCCTGCATGAAGTGCTGGATAGACGAAGCACACCAGAGACCTGAAGATTGAAACTTTATTTTATTTGCTCTATGAAAAGTACAGGAAAAGAACTTAAAAGAAGAAACCCACAACAACATTTCATGTGACTTACAGGACCTTTCGAATTCAAACTGACAAAAGGTCACCAAAGTTAGCCTGCCCAAGTGAAATCTTTGTTTTCAGATGCACTCTTTAAAGTTGTTCTCTATTGCCACCATAAACTCATTTAACTGTTAAACTCCCCATTCAGGGACAGGTTTGGTTGGAGAAGCTGCCACTACTAACTTGAACCATGCAAGAAAGATCTGGATATTGCCTGCTAGAGAGATGGAGTGGTCTTCAGCGATATGCTACTGTTTTTAAAACAAGTGGATAGCAGTGAATTTCCTAATTTTTGTTTTGTTTTACCTCCTAATATATGTGGTCGTTGCAAGTAAAGTGGTATCTTAAGATGGATGAATGGGAGAAGAAATAGTGTCATTTTTGGGGCGGGTTGATTATATAATGCCATGAACTACAGCAAGGAAAAGCTTCTGAGTATATAAGTATCTAAGGCCTTGTCAATGAAGGGAAGTTAGAGTGAAATAACTGTAGTGTGTTTACCCTGAAGTGCTTGGGGTCCACACACAATCTATTTTTAACTTAAATTCCTCAGTGTATTAGAGAACAGTAAGTACAACTTCTTGAAGCAAGGGAAACTACTTGAGTGTATTCACTTTTAGATTCCTGTGGATACATTCATAACCACTGTGGATTTGGCAGTCCCCCAAATACCAATCCACAGTGCATTGCTGTACACCCTGTACCTGTGTGTGCTTCACTGCTCTCAGGTCTTCTACACTGGATGTCACCTCTCTTGTTTAAAAGTCTTGGCAGGCAGCCAAGCTTGCTTTTTTATGGACACCAGGTAATAATGAGTTTTCATACCCTTGGTAGCAATGATACCCTCCCTTCACAAACTATAGACTCAATTGCTCTTTTCAATCCAGTCCCCTCTGGAAAAGACTCACCAGAATGCAGAAATGTGCATGATGCAGGAAAGTGAGGTAATATGAAAGAAGACCGAGCCAGGGATAGTGAAGAAGGGGCACTCCTAGAACTTTTTCCAGTGCCAAATCTGAGGAAAAGAGGCTTGGCGGAAGAACCTGAGAACAAGAGACCAGAACAACATTTCTGGTAAAGTTTTCACTACCACCCATTGTATGAAGAATAAGAGCACACATTTGCTAGAGATGCCTCCACTGAGCCTGAAAATGTTTGCCTGATTATTATCTATCAAGCATCCTGGATGATATAACTGGCTCACAAAAACATACAGGAGGAGCCCTGGGCCCTGTGTACACAATGGGGTCTGACCAGGAAGAAATTATCCAGACAACCAGGAACAGCATGACATAGGAGACATGAGAATTATACAGGAGGTCCCATACAGAAAACATTGTGGAGGAGAGCCCTACCAACAAGTGTTCTTTTACAATACACCTGCATTAAGGGGATTAACACTACTTTTTCTAAGCGCAAGTGATTGCCTTGCTGGGCAGAACTAGGAGCCCCCTCTACCTACTCAACATTTTATCTTCTCCCAACTGCACAAAGTGCCAATCCCACCAGAAACTACAGCTCTGAAGCTTTAATTCCCAATAGTATCATACTGCAGAACCATTGGTCACACTTTCTGCTTCCCTATCAATGTCTCTGGAAGTGGCCATAATACAAACAAGGCCCAGGAAAACAGCTGTGATAGATCACCTTTTGTTACAGATGAAGGACTCTATCCCAGCCCTCCAAACTGGGGTCAGTGTTTCAATCAGTGTAGTTATGGGACCTTGCATAGCTTGGACTACCCCCCTTGGAGAAGAAGAACTCTTCCCAGCACATCACCTACAGCGCTTTATGGCAAGTCATTTAGTGTTTGTGTATGTGCTACCCAAAATAAAATGTCCAGTGTCCTTATGACATGGTACTACTGCTGAATTACCTGGCCAGTTGTGAATTTTAAAATCATTTAGAAAGTCAATCATGTTCATTTCAGAATGAGTTTGTGTAATTTCTGCCAAATGCTACTCCACAGTGTTTTGTAGCATGCTTGGACTGACCTTTCTATCTACCTGTGTGTCTTCTACTGCTCTGGGGTCATGTTGACCAAATGTCACAATCCTGTTTGAATGCTGGCATGCAGCCAGGACCCATCCAGTTGTAGTCACACGCACCTGAAGTCACATAACTTTCTCAGCGTTACAACAGCCATGCTTGGGGATCTGCTTGGAGCCACACAGAGGTCACTGATTTCCTTGCACTCTGGAGACTGCAGATGGTTCAGTCCTACCCTAACAGTATCTAACAGAATGCCAATATGCAAGTGTATATAGAAGAAAGTGATGGAGAAGTCATGACTGGGACACTGCTCAGTGCTGCAGCATAGGGAAGATGCTCCAGCAGAGTTATTAAAAAGCCAAAAACAGAAACAGGAGCTCAAGGAGCTAGATAGGATGCTCTCCTGGAAGGCTACCACTAGGTCCCTTTATGTGGGAGTCAGTGCTGAAGGCATACAGGAGAGGGCCGAACAGCCTTGAAAACAGAGAGCTCTTGAAACTGATGAACACGTGGGGGGACATGCTGATGGTGTATACTATACACTATATAAATAAAACAGTAAAGGGTTGGGGACTTGACATAGCTTTTGTCCCAGGTGCCAATGGATGCCACCACTTTGGCTGGATGTGAACAAGAAGCTTTTATGAACCTAGTCAACTTCTAACATCCTTTCCCTGCACCAGTATAAAAACCCTTGAACACTCCTAATAGTATCATCACCAGGACCCCTTGGCTCTTCAGTTAATTGCAGTCCCGATATTTACATATTCCCCAAAACTGGACCAGCACCTACCCTGAATGACCCTTTTTCATTCCCTCCTACTCCTATGGCCACCTAACTCTCTGAAGCAGCACTCCTCCTCACTCTTTTAGTTATGTTAGTTGTGTTGCAGTGGGTTAAATTAAAAGCCCATGTTAATGTATGCATGGTTATTTAAGCATTAGAACAAGGTTTATTCCCATTGGGTTCGTATGTGAAGGGGAATAAAGTGAAAAACATCCTTATTCCTCAATACCCAACACCAGGAAGGGATCCTGGGAATGGCATTTCAGAACTGAGTGAAGACACATTTTATCACTGTTACCTTGGAGATAGGAATTATACTTGTTCTGTCTCTCATTTTCTCTCACCTCCTTCACCTGAAGCCTCCTGGAGAGGAACACTGTCTACTGTAGAGCAGCTGGTCATCTTCTAGGGCAGGGCTGTCAAACATGGCTGAGAGGCCGGATCTGGCCTGTGGGGCTCAGAATTCGGGGGTGGTTGAGCAGAGGCAGGTCCCACCACTGAAATCCAGGATGTGGAAACCTACTGGGGACAAGGTTTAGTGGTGGTGAGGGCTGCATTACCCCTACAGCCCCCTAATGCCGCTCACAACTGCCGTTGCCACAGGCCTGGATTCAGCCCACAAGGAGCGATGTGATCTGAATCTGGCTGGGAGGCAACAGAGTTTGAGACCCCTGCTCTAGGGCAAGGAAAGGAAGACCAAAGGTTAAATGTGTGGGACCTTCTGTCAGCTATATGAGTGCCAAGACGACCATGGACTAGCAGACATTTCTCTTTGCAGAGAAGCAAAGGCAGAGAGCTGATATGGGATAAAATTGCAGCTCCTTATGCAAAGGCAGAAGAATAAATTTCTCGGGCACATCCAGATGAACGCATGCATGCAGTTTGAGGCACTGCAAACTGCATGTGCTGAATGCACAACTGTGCACCGTGCTGTAAATGTACAGCAGTACCAACTTTTGATACCGGGATGTCCCAGTATTAAAAAACCAACAAAAATACCCACTGGAAAAAGCAGCGCGGTGCACATGGCAGCAGTGTGTGCTGCCAGAAACAGAGCCTGGCTGTGCAGAGCCATACTCTGGCTGCCGGCCAGGTTTCATGTGGCCAGATTGACACTGCTGCTGCCCTGGGAGGCCTGCAGGACTCCAGTTAAGACTACTGGGGCCAGCACAGGTGCTGGCCCCAGCCTCTCCTACCCCACCTGGTTCAATTTGGCGCACACTGCAGCACACGTGCAAGGGGCATGTCCTGGGGCACAAAGCAGTGGCACAACTATGTGCTGCTGCTATTTGTGCTGCAGCAAACACGTGCCCCTGCATGTGGGGATGCACCCCTTAGGTCCTTGGCACTTGAAGCCCAGAGAAACTCATTGTACACAGACTGACTGGCACCAAAATAATTTTAAATGTATTAAAACCTTGCACTGTCTCATCTTGATGTCAGAAGAGAAATGCTTTGCAAGGAGAAATGGGCATTCTGTGCATCTCAGCAAAACAGAAAGCTCCTGTCATGATCTATAATTGAATGCTCCTTTCATCATGGTTTCTGCTTGTGAGGTCGCTTGAGGTAAAAGACATTTTAAGTTAATGGCTGGCCATGCAAACTAAAAATAGCTGTGTGTGTAACTAAGGGGTATGATATGCCTACAGTAAGTATGCTTAGAATACACACACCGCTGGAAGCCAAGACCTCTGGAGTTCTGTTGCTGCTCTGGCCCTCGTAGCTCCAGCCTTGAGCAAAAATCATGCAATTCCCTGACTCCCTCTTCATTTGTAAAACTGGGTTAAGTCTTACATCACACACAGTGTGATGTAATTCCACCAGAATAATACTGTGAGGATTAAATGTTTGCAGAGCACCATCTCCTATGAGCATATGTTTACATTCAGAAATATTGATAATTTCTCTATTGATCATGTCATTTATTATCTCCAATCATTTACCTTCTGGTCTGGGGGCTTAAGCCTGGTCTTCAGGGATCAACTGTGCACATCATTAAACCATCACTCAGTGTATTACAACTGGCTGTATGTGCCATCTTTGAAACAGTGCATGAGTGAAGAGTACTGTCTAAAGAGCAAGATTAGTAGGATGTGTACAGAAGTGGTTTTTTGCCATTTAAAGTGCTTTATTGCTGTGACTTAACAGAAGTGCATGGCTTTACTGCATTTTAAAAATGGGTACAGTGCTTTAAATTAACCCTTGTTAAATGAGGTATTACATTTGAAGCACTGTATGTTACAGCACTTCAGCAACCTACAATGCTTTAAATAACTGCTGTACACTGGTCAAATTTCCAGCCAGTGGAAAGGCCCAGGAGGCTGCGAAGCACCCCTTGCCTCCTAGCCTGGAAAATGCAGGGAGGCTCAGAAGGCTCTGCTCTGCTACCCCCACTCCCCCCAATGCTGTACTTCTGTCATGTTTAAGAGCGCTATAGTGCTATAAAAAGTGCTCTAAATTACAAGGCTGTAAAACATGCATGGAGCACTTCTGTACCAGGCTGTGGTTCATAAAACATTTTTAATTGTACTTTAGCACATATCATATATCTGTATCTTCTAAATACTCAGATGAAAAAAACTTAAACATCAACAACAGAAAATTGTAAACAGCATCCTTTAATGAAGGTAAAAAAAGAGTTTACAAGAAAATTATTGGACTGATAGAATGCTGTTCCTAGCTTTCCCATAGTAACTTCATAATAAGGCACAAAGTTAATTTAGACAGTTTGACAATATCCAAAGCACAGTTTGTAACAAGTTTTCTACAGCAAGACAAAATACAGAGACTGATAAAGTAAACTTTCATTATACAAATGTCTGGTCAATTTGTACAGCACTTCAGAAGGAAACAGCAGACCTTTTACTCCATTTATGCACGTTAATAATGTTAATAAAATGCGCACACAAAATGGAATGAAACAAGAGAACATGATACCTTTTCATCTATTCTTTGTTATTTAGCCATCTAAATTCTTCTGTGATTTCTGGTAAGCATCAGATTGTCGTGTTAGTTACAACATTTCTCTTGTACAAGTAATTCACAGTAAAACCATATTCAGCCATTTGGTACAAACTATACCACATTTCAAAACTTGTTTTTAAAAATAACATCCTTTACAAAATTAGATCTACTCATATGTAACATTTAGATCCTTGAGATATTGTTTGCTTAGGTCACTTGTAGGAAAACTTGGTTTTGTTTGAATTGTTTTCTGGTACAGCATCTCAGAGATGATTTTTTTTTAAATATCTATATTCTTAAAAAACATTCAAATATTTAAAAAATCCAATGAACTAAGAAAGTTATAAGCCTCTCAAAATCACCAGGAGATGTGAAGTTTTAACTGCCTTTGACTGTTTATCAACCTGCGTTCCCCCTATAAAAGTTTATATTCTTTCTAAAGCTATGTTAACTGTTAAAAACTCAGCCTACCCAATACAAACATTACTCTCCATAAAATTCACTAACATTTTATATGCCTCCAGTTTAGAGAAATAGCAGAGCAGCCTATTCATTATCTATTCCCCATTATCTATAAAGTATCAAGTACAAAAGTACTAACGATATCATACCATTAAGTTGGTATGTATAAATATCAAATATTTGACCTGATCCCTGGTTTGATTTTTCCAGTATTTAGTAGCATCAAAATTAAAAAAAATGAGCCCCCAAACTGGTTTCCACATCAGGCTGAAGTTGTGTTTGGAACAGAGAGGATCAGACAATGAACTGTGTTAGGAACTGATGTTGCAAAGAATTACAAATATATTTAAATTTACACACTGAGAAAAGTTTTGCAAACTTGTGCACAATACATTAAGTAAGGCACATTTATAATGCCGGATTTTGCTATTTTGACTATGCCAGCACAATAAAAGCAGCAAAACTCCCTTTGTAGAACAAAGCTATATTCATATAAAAAAAGTATGTATTGGTACTGCACAATCACATTTAGCAAAGTAAATTAAGTTATATTGGTATGAAGAAACTTACTATGCTGGTTTAAAAAAATCACACCTGTAACAAACATAGCTATGCCAGCAAAACCTTGACAGTGTAAGCAAGGCATTAATCTTTGTCAGGCCTTCATAAGCTTTGGTCACTACATCATTGGCTTTTTCATGGCTGAAAGAAAAACGCACCAGAAAGTGCCCTTGAAGGAGTCTCACACTGGCTGAGCAGATTCACTGAATGACCTGACAGACATTTTGTGCTTACATTTCTACAGTCTCTTTCTAGAGTGAAATGGAGATCATTGATCCCTGCAGGCAGAATTCACAGCAGTGTTCTGCACAAGACAATGGAAGACAGGTGGAGATGCTAATAGAATTGAAGGCCTTTGGGTACCAGTCTCATTTGGAAGTACCTTTCTCCCTGCAACATTAGATTTTGCATTTCAGACTCATCATCTTCAAATGAGTCTTGATGACTTCTCTGTAAGTTATTCAGGCAGCAATGTGTCAGCGTAGAGGTACCATTGAATTTTTGGCAGTAACTGTCTATAAGCTGCTGCAGGCTGAGGAGTGCAGTAACAATGCAAGCCCAGCAACCCAGGCTGGCAGAATGGACAGTGCAGAACTATACTGAAAAATACATCAGAGATGAACAAGCCTTAAAATAACAAAACTCTCCTGTACCTAGTATGCATGAGGCACTGTGACTTGCACAGAAGCACTGAACTGTAACGATCATTATTGCAGTGACTGGAAGAAGGCACATAGCTTTGTAGACATGGAGACAGCAATTTTCTAGTTGCCTCCACAATAAAGACACTTAGCCTTTTTATTTTTCTAATAGGTGTTATTATTTATGTGCATTGTAACTCTTCTCAAATCCTTAGGAATTAACTGAGTAAAGAAATAAAGTATGCCCTCTGATCTACTGTATTTACCTGCAGACTAAATGCACTGTTCTCCCCAAATCAGTCCTACAAAATGGGGTGCACATCTTCAACAGAGAGGCTGATTTTTTTTCTTCATGGGAATAGAAGCATGGAGAGACTGCCACAAGATGGCTGCTGTGCTTCTGCCTTTGCCAGCCTCAGTGATAGAGGGGATGGCATTCACCCTTCAAGGTCAGGGCTACAGTGTTAACTCTCGCACAGCTACTGCCACTGAAGTCAGGATCCCCTGAAGCCAGGACAAAAAGTATGTTTTCCTTTGGTCTGCCTTCCTGAAACAAGCTGCGTGTCCTCTCTTGGTGGTAGGGGTTATGCAAGGAAATATGGTAAATGGGAAAGGTAGTGCAAAAGTATAAGTAATGGTAAGTCCAGAGCTGGAACTCCTTAACAGCCATCCTGGGGTTTCCTCCCTCTTTTATTCAGGTAATGGTTTAATATTTTGTTTCTTTTTAACTCCTTGACTGCCCACCAGCTTTATACCTTACCGTTAGATATGGTTGAGGGTCACAGGTAACAGTATCATACCCAAAAACAATGGTTCTCTCACTTACAGTCAGTCCTATGCTATGTCTGGAAGAAAATACCAGAACGGCCAAAGATCCATATCTTGCACTGAATTAGAGAATAATGGATATGGCTAGAGTGATTTACAATGATACTATCCAGGCAGAGTCATTAAAAAGTACAAGATCAAGGTTTACTATGCTCTCATAAATTCAGGATAAAAATTAGTCCCATGTAACATGTTGCAATGCATTTGTCATTTTTGTTAAGTAGACTGAAAATTGTTTGAATGTGAAAACATTTAAACAAGGTAAACACTTTAGTGCAAAAGCTATATTAGGAGCAGTTGAAACTGCTATAAATAGGAGCTATACAAGTAAAAAGACACTTGACAAGTTTATAACTGAGGCTGTGAATATTAATTTCCATAACGTTGTGTCATTATCCTGAGTGAATGAGTTAACTGTCTCATTATCTAAACCTCTGATTGGTGATTGCTGGATTTGATCATTCTGGCATCAGAAGGCTAGAATCACAGCTGCCGTAAATCAACCTTTCTCTGTTCAAGTCAAATGGAGTTGGGCCAATTTAGCTGAATTAACAAGCTGGCCAAGAGTCTTGGCGGTACTGCTGGGAATTAATGCCACAATCTAAAACAGAGGACATGTACTCAACTACTTACAGACTGCTCAAAGAAACTATTTTCTCCTTCCTTTTACTGTGTACCACTAATGGCTGAACAGTTATGCAGGTTTAGAACAAAGGAACTGCAAGAAGGCAAGCAATGGTATTTAAGTCACTCATTCTCCTTCTGGATACTTCATGCCTGATAGCAACTATTTATTCTAAATGGTATGATATTCATATGGCTCAGGATGATTCCTTTGCAGCACTGGAATAAATATGTCACAAAAATATTCAGAACATACACCTGCATATAGTATTCATTATGCATTGGCAGTGTGTGTGTTAAGCTAAAGCTCCTTTATAAAACAAAATTGCTTTAAAAGATCACAGCTGAGATGAATATATGAAATGCTAAAACCTAGTGTTCACCTAATACAGGGGCAGGCAAAGTCTGGCCCGTGGGCTGGATGAGGCCCATGGCAGACTCCATTTCCCAGCAGCCTCTGCCTGCATTGCTGCAGCTGGTTTCTACGGAGACCCCAGAAGTGGTGGGGCTGTGTCAATGTGGGGCCACGGTTTCCATGGAAAGGCACCCAGCTGGGCAGGGGAGCTGCTCCAGAGGCGCAGGCCTTCATAAGCTTCGTAAGCTTTTGAGATCTTGCAGCAGTGACAGCGTGGTCCGGAGCCGGGCACAGCTGCAATCCACTGTCACCACTGCAAGATCCCAGCCCCAGCTCCAGTTCTCTTCTCACTGGGTTTTGGTGTATTAATCTAAAACATGTCCATAAGTTATGGCCTTCAGGATATATTTGCATTATACAGATGTGTTCAAATGGTGGGTTTTTTCATTAGCAAGCTTATTTTGTCTTGTTTTGGCACTTCCTGTGGCCAAATAACAGGCATCTTGGCTTAGATGAGCATAAATTAGTTCTGTATGTGTTTTAAACATAATATATATTAATGCCTCAAAAATGGATTTCCTGAGAGTGTTTATGGTACTTTTGGGAAAACTATATGCAACAGTTCTGAACAAGCGTTGTGCAGGTCTGTGGAAATCGCATGCCTACCGAGAAGTGAAAGCACAACAGAGCTGCATTTCTTCAGCTCTGTTCTGATAAGTTGAAATATGATACTCTTCTAAAGAGTGTTTTAATTAAACAGCTTTAAGTTGGGTGGTTTTGTTTAAAATCAAAATTCCAATCACACTTCATGAAACTATGAAGAGTAATTCCATCACGCCTCTGTGCTGACTGATACAGGGCTCGCATGTATTTCACTGCTTACCATCCTTTTTGTCTCTTCTGGTGCTTAGCATCTGCCTGTTTCCATCTATGCTGCTGGCCTCTTCTTTCTATGACATGTGAACAGGCAGAGCCCTCTGCTGGAAAATGCTGACTACTATTACTTCCGTGTAGTTGTACCTAGGATAAAACTTACCTACTGGTTGTCTACATAGCAAATGCAGTGTGAAACATCTATGATGTGAATTTAAAAGGCAAGTGCTATTCTGCATTAATTCCCTATACAGACACTCATATTTCCTGTACAAACTCATATTCCACACTGAGAGATTTGTGCAGTTTAATTTACTTTGGGAGAGATTAACCTATGTTACACAAGGGCATTCTTGGTGCCAAATAAGAAAACCTACACAGATAGTCAATGCTGAATAGCCATTAGCGGCTTCAAATCTGGGATTTTCCCCCACGTAGACAAACCCCAAATTCTGTGGAAGAAGGAAGCAGGCTTAGTTTTTTTTAAATGCTTTGGAGAAATAATATTTTCTCTCTGATGTTCAGGCTAGACCTCTTGTTTCTTGTTGCAAGGGGAAGTCTAACACTGCCATGGAAGTTAACCTGGAGTTTCATTTAAATCATAATTGGAGGGAGCGTGTTCATGGAATCTATTGCCTGGCAACAGGGTCTGGTCAATTGTGAGTTCTTATCTAAACCGCCACAAGTCAAAGCCTTTAGAAGAGATTAATTTCAGTTGTATCTCCCTCTCACAGACTTACAGAGGATGGGATCTCTGTGAAGATCACGGATGTCTTGTATGTTTTAAATCTTCTGAAAAAGGAGCCTTTTTAGCGTACATTACTATAGAGCTTATTTTCAAATCCCCACTTTTATTTCTCGTGCTATATGGTATTTCTTTCTAATCTAATGTGTCGTGCTCTCTTGCACCAGTATTGTATATGCTAGGCAATCAAATTAATTTGAATGAATTATTCAGCATAAAAAGCTCTAAAGCTCTTATGTGAAGAAGCTCATCAAGGTATCCCTTCTTGTTATATCCAACATCCTCATCACATCACACCTTACCTAAACGTCTGTAAGATGTCCCAGAAGATAGGAAGATTCTGAGTTAACATATATGGTGTTGCCAGCTCCTGTGATTTTTATCCTAGTGTTTGGTGTTTCTCTACAAAGCCCCAACTGTGAGACTGAAGTGAATAAATGACAGTCTGTTCTTTTTCCATTTCTTAACTTCTGTGATTCGGGCTGCACACGGTGTACAAAATTGATTAGGGGACAATCCCATACTGGAAATGATAACAGATATGGAAAATATCTAATCCAATTTCTATGCTTTTCCTCTAATGTACTAGAAAACGTGACGACTAAACATAAGCACGTCAGGCTGCAATAAGCCTGCCTCTTTGCTTCCCTTCTGCAGTCCTGCTCTGCAGTACTGTGCTCTGAAAAACTTTTAATAAAGCTCAGTCTAGATTATCCAAAGGAATTCAACCTGCAAAGATCTATCGTAACAAATAAACATACAGGAAGGTGTGTAAATGAGAGAACCATTCCTCCAGTCCTTATCTAGCTGCATTACATTGACAGACACCAGTTAGCAAGGCAACTTTGGGTGAGAGGTGCTTGCAACTTAAAACCATTTCACTCTGAACCATCCCCACATCTCCCACCCCTGGGAGTCAAAGCCATTGCAAGTGATGTCATATCAGACTCCAAGCCAGACAGGTTTTTTGATCCTAGCTGCTCCTTCTTTGGCCCTAATTACATGGAAGGATGAGAGGGACACACACAAGAATCATGAATAAAATGGGTTTTGTAGGTGAGTCATGATCATGTTACAGATGCCTGCATTCAGCACTACTTAGATAATCACCCTAGCTAGCAGGGTAAACTGAAGCAGCAGAGCACTCTGTGAACTCAACTGTATATTAATAGCAACCCTGCTCTTGGAGTACTTTTACCTGCCTGAGTGTATATGCATTACATTCACACCTACATGTTTTTCCTGATCCTGCCCTGACTGTTGCCTTCCCAGCACTATGAGTCGGAAGCACAGCTCCCATTTTGTATATGTGCACCAAGTGCAAAGTCCACAGCCTGGTGCACACTGTGGAAGAGAAGATGCCTTTTCCCCTTCTTAAAGTACTCTCCCTGTTGCAGAGAACTCCTCACAGAGGGGTTGCACTGGGCCAACAACACCTGGATGCCAATCTCCTCATAATCTCTGCAGACCTCTTTGAGTGTGCGAATCCCTGCTGTGTCCAAGAACTGCACTGCACAGCAGTCAATCACTATGGTGTGGAAGTCCAAGGGTTCAGAGACAAGCTGCACTGAGATGTCATCTTGTTTGCCCTCAGAATTCATCATCTTCTCTTTCAGCATTTGCTTTTCTGCTTTTTTCTTTGCTGCCTTCACCCAAGCTGGGTTGACTCCAGTCCTCTTGTACAATGCAGATTTAAAGCATTCCTTGTTGATGTAATAAAGAGGTGCCTCAAAACGGAAAACCCTGATGCCCAGTTTAGTCTGCAAGTTCTTGTAAGAAGATAGGGATTCATATGCCTCAGACTCAGCTGCCCAGCCAAGCAGTGCTGCTTCTGGCCTTTGAGTCCGAAAAATAACACACAGCATAGAGAAGCAGACACCAACCAACAGGCCAATCTCAGTACTTACCAGTGCGGAGGCTATCATAGTAACAAACCAAATCAGTGTGTCCACCTTGCTCAAACACCACATTTTGGGCAGGTCCCTGAACTTCCGCAGGGCTCCTCTAAGGTTTACTATAGTTATGACTGCTAACACACATTTCTGAAGGGAATAGAACAGAGGGGCAATCACAAGCAGGACTAACAAGATGATCAGTGCAGTCACCACACTGGAGATCTGAGTTCTGCAGCCTGTTGACTCTTTGACAAGTGTCTTGGCAAGAGCTGCACTGGTTGTAAAGCAGTGGAAGAAAGAAGGAATAATATTGCAGAAGCCAATAGCATACATTTCTTGGTTGGCCTTAACTGTATAACCATGTTTCTTGGCAAACATCTCTGAAAGGGACACAGTGATGGCAAAGCCAATAACAGCAATAGCAACAGCATCCAGAGCCACGCTGGGAATCAAGTCCCAATCAGGTGGACGGGGTGGCAGAAATCCAGTTGGAATGTGTCCAGCAATGCTGGAGCCATAGTTCTCTTTCAGTTTCCCAAAGTGAGATGCCAGTGTAGCTGCCACAATCACCACCAGTTCAATGGGTATTGGAGCCTTGAGTTTGGATTTGAAGTATTCATTCATCTCTTTGGTTGGGACAAGAACAAGAAGGCACAAGACACTGGTCATGAGGTCACAAATATTGGTCTTGTGTATGTTTTTGAAGATATTTATCCAGGTGGTTACGAGGGAGCCAATGCCATTGCTGCGTGGAATGTCTAGGCCTAGGAGATACTTGGCTTGGGAGGTCAGGATTGTGAAGGAGGCACCTGTGACAAACCCGCTGAGCAAGGAATCGGAGAGGTACACTGAGACAAAGCCCACCTGAAAGAAGCCCATTGCAACCTGAAAGAAATCAACCACACATGAGAGATTACATCATAAATCTTAGCATGATGGAAATTAGCAGCACAGTTAAATGATGTCGCAACTGTATGGCACTTGTACACACTTGGCTCAAATCAAGTGGTTCCTGGTTGTCAGGTAGCTGAGGCAACACAGCATGCACACAAAACCAACACACAGGTTTGAAAACCGGCATAAACATCTAAGAGCTGCACAATTTTATTGAGAGGAAGGATGGTCTTGTGGCCTTGGCACTAGACTGGAGCTCAAGGCATGAGGGTTCAATTGCTGACTCAGCAATAGGTTCCCCAGGAAATCCCAGGAGAACTCAGTTGATTCCTGTATTTCATGGTTCCTCATCTGTAAAATGAGGGTAGCAGTGCCTTCTTTGCCTGTCTTGTCTACTTAAGATTCCAAGCAGTTTCAGGACCAGCCCTGTTTTTTACCGTGTGTCTGTTCAGTTCCTTGCACAAAGGGAACCTTATCTCTGTTTTGAATTCAAAAAGCGATGTTGATATGAATAACATTTTTAGCAAGTAAGGGTCTATTGGTTAGCAGGCAGTAAAAGATGCCAAGCAAAGCATGGCTAATTACCATTCTATATATAACATCTACATCAGATAAAATAATTTGGTCTATGTAATGCAACTGAATTGACAGATATTTGGCCAAAAATCTACCAGCAGTTCACAACTCCACAGCTCTTACCACCTCAGAAATGCAACCCCCATGTCATATCAAGGGGTTCATATTATGATACAAATAAAACTAGTTGATCTTATCCAGTGATAAAAGATACAACCTCAGGTTTTGTATTAAAAAAGAGGATTTTCTAGAATACCATGGAAATTCTTCCTTTTTTTCCTCCAATACAATGTGCTCAGATTTAAAAGCTTTATTGAGAAAAATGTTAAAAGTATAGCTATTACATGGCTTGGTAGAGTAGTGGTAACTACAATAATGAAAAAGCTTTTTTTTGGGTGAATGTTTTTTTCTACTAGATTGTAAAACCTGAACACAGCATCCCTACAGCCCTGTGAAATTTAAATGCAACAATACAACATAACACAAGATAATCACAGCATAAAAAAATTAGATTTTAGATTTTTTTTAAACTATTTCAATTTTACTAATTAAGGAATGAATAGGGTTTTTTTTAAATCTTTGTCATGTTCCTTTAATATAGTGTTAAAGTTCTGGCTTTGCAAGGACATATAGTCAAGTTTTAACCAGGAAACAAGAAGTTTATTTTAAACTTTCTACTGTTTTTTATGAAAATAAAGTCAGCTGATTATGGTTAAATGAATGAAAGGTGGTTTAAGCTGATACTACAAATGCTGCCCAAATATTGGTGCAAAGCAACATATGGGCACTGCTGCTATAAAAATTCTGCCACAGTCTTCCAAGATTTTCTCAGAAGGCTTCAATAAACAGTTAAACTTTGGCTAAAAGAAGAAAGATTGCTTACCCTATGGTAAGAAGTGGAGTTACTGCAACTGTGCTGGCCATTTACACACCCCACTGAGGCATGGAAGGTGTGTGTTGCTCTACCTGGTCTTGGTATGAAGCTGGAGAGGGGAAGTGCAGATGTGCTATGTGGAGACTGCTGGCTAAAGGTCTCCAAGGTCAAGAATATGAGACACATGTAAGTCCACAGTAGGATGTGCATATGGACAATCACTTGAAGGACAATTAGAAATATTTCCATAAAAAACATTTTTGCTGTCACCTCTTACCTGATAAACTCCAGCTATGAAGGTCAGGGTGGATCCTACCGCAATTGCATAGCAACTTTTATCACATAACAGCTGTTGTGATGTCTGGTTCATGGGCAAAGCTGTGATGTTTATATCAATTACCAAGTCTCTATGAAGGCTACTGTGAATATTTGATTCAAGGTCATATCCAGCTCTCTGCACCTCACGGTCTACCACCTGTCCCACCATCAGGCATAGCACACCAAAAATGCCAACTGAGATGTGACGGGAGGTTCCAAACAGGAAATAAATAATGCTGGCAAAAAATGACGTGTAAAGCCCATAAATAGGCTCCTGGCCAGCCAATAGGGAATAGGCAATGGACTGTGGCACCAGCAAGATGCCCACAATCAACCCTGACATTACATCCCCCAGGATGTATTCTTTCAGCTTGTATTTGGGGAGCCACTGCAAGACAGGGAAGAAACTGAAAATTAGGTCTTTAACTTTGGCTGGAGTACAGCTGCAAGCTTTCTTTGCTTTCTTGACTACGAGTGCTTTCACATCAATTTTCTTCTCTTGAGGCTCTAGGAACATCCCTGGGTGAAACTTGAGTTTGTTGCCATCTCCCTCTGCTGATTCAGATGTTGAAAGGATGTGGTTGAGTTCTACTACTGCTGCCATCTTGAAGTCTCCCTACAACAGAAACACGGTTTTTAAATTATCGTTCAGATTAATAATACTGATCTAATTATTTCAGACAGTTTAAAATTGGAGCCATTTCAGTCCCCCTGAACAGCAAGGATTTGCAGTCCTGGCTAAGCCAAGCATAGTGCAAGTGTGCTCTGCAAATTTTCCATACAAACCTGTTTTGAGATGCATCACTCTGACTGTACAATGCCACCTGTTATTTCAGTCCTTGGCCCGGCTGAAATAGGAACCCTGATGCTGCCCAACTATATTTTGTTTTTGAGATGTGCATGTCACAACCCAAGGGTGTGATTTTTGTTTTGTGAGTGCTTCGGCACTGCTAAATTGTTCCCGCTAAATTGCAGCTTCTTTACACGGTGGAGTTTTCTGCTGCAGAGGAAAACCCCGGTGCAAAAGAATTCCCGCCACCAGTAGCTTTCTTTGCAGGGTGCATTTCTTTGTTGCAGCACAGAAATGCATGTTGCAAGGAGTTCCCGCCATTCGTATTCAAATTTGTGCCCCACCATTGGCTAGTTCTAAATTATTCCCACGTGGCAGCTAGTGATTGGCTTTCTTGCCCTATTAAAAACTTCCACGAACACGAGGAGGAGGAGACTTCACGTCTCGTGAAGATCTCTAAGTGCTGCGGAGCCTATTGAACCCAGCGTGAATAAAAAGGGGCAAGCGGGTTTTTGCCCACCCTCTAGCCTCTCCCTGTCGCCGAGCGCAATCCTCAACGTATCCCTCTCCCTGCGCGCACAAGTTCCACGGAGCCTAGCAAACTTCGTGTGAGTCTATTCAGAGCTCTTTTCTTCGAGTACTTTCTTCGGTTGGCACGACAGGCTCGCAGTTTAGAGCCTCCAACCGGATGGGCTAGAAGAATGTTCACGGGAAGGAACTCTAGTCCGCCTCTCTTCTTTTCTATCTGTAACTGCAACTCAAGCAAGTTTTCCTGCCTGCACCGCGACCATCTTTGGTGTAAGTAAATAATCTTAAATCAACCATTACACGTCCGTGACTAATTCTAGCGTGTTGCCTGTTTTCTCCGACCCAGCGTGCCCGGGCTGCTGGCCACAGCCTGCGCCGCGCGAAAAAGGGCCCGGATCGCTCCCAGCCCACACAGTGCACAAATTGGAACCAAAAGTGTCTGAAAATACATTGTCACCTCTGGCCAATGCAAACATTTGAAGCCAGCTCTCCAAAAGGCATAATGAAGATGGGTGCTGCAGCACTGCCAGCCAGCTGTTTGTCAGCTGTTTGAGCTGCGAATGAAAAGCAGCTCTCTGTTTTATATCTCTTTGTTACCTCTTTATGCTTTCTCATCTCTTCCCAAGACAAGAGTCTTTTATTAGTAAATTTTTAAACATAATCTGTTTCCTTCCACTGTTATTAAGATAGTTTAGATACAATTTTCTACAAAAGGAGTGAGTTTCTCCACACATATACAGGATCATAGGAAAGCAGGGCTGGAAGGGACCTCACAAAGTTATCTAGTCCAGCCCCTTCTCAAAACAGGATCATCCCTGACTAAACAATCCCAGCCAAGTATCTGTCTAACCTGCTTTTGAAAGTTTCCAAGGATGGAGATTTCACAGCTTCTCTGGGTAGCCTGTTCCAATGTTTGACCACCCTCACAGTCAGAAAGTTCCTCCTAATTTCTAGCCTAAATATCTCCTGCTGCAGCTTTAAGCCATTGCTCCTGTTCCTTATGGCCACAGAGAAAAGCCCTTCTCCATCCTCTCTATAATCTCCCTTCGGGTATTTGAGGACTGTTATCAACCATCCTCTCTATAATCTCCCTTCGGGTATTTCAGGACTGTTATCAACCCCCCTGCCAGTCTCCTCTTCTCCAGACTAAATAACCCTAGCTCATTCAGCCTTTCCTCGTAAGACTCCTTTTCCATCACAGTTGAGAACCTACTGCAAGCAGAGAATAAACTGTGATATCTAGAACACTGTAACAGCCCCTTCTGTAAGAGCCTTTCTGAATTCAGTGACTGTTTCTGATCTATTACACAGAAACACAAACACTAGATTTTCCTTGATGAACAACTGCTACGATTCTGCTTATTAAATTGATTCGCAAGGGCTACATTTCTGGTGTAACATCTCTGATTTGTGGTTTTTTTTCCAGTGCAATTATGGTCCCAGCCAGGTACACTTAAGTTTTACTTGTTACCCAAGAAGCTGTAATCTTTTTATTTCTTCTTACATGGTTTTATTTTGGCCAGTGACATAACACAGAGACAATAAACAGCTTTCACATTTTTTGTTTGTTTTTTGAGAATCAGGTTGGATTTCAGTAACTTATACCTGGCCAGAAAAACATAAGCAAGTCCAGACATCTTACGTTACAGTTCACCCCAGGGGTGGGCAAGGGATATGGTCCACCAAGGGATTTTGTCAGGCCTGTGGCAGGTCCCTCGGTCCTGCCCAGCCCAGGCACAGGGGCCAGCCTGAGTTGTGGCAGCTGTGGCCAGAGCGAGCAGCAGGGCTCGGGCAGCACAGTGGCGGGACTCTGCTTCCTGGCAGTCCCAGCAGTCTGCCCCACACACCCCGCTGGGGGTGGGACCCGTACAGACAGGGCGCTCAGCTGGGAAGCTGGGATGGGGTTGCAGGCCGGTGGAGAGCAAGACATGTGGGCGGGGCGGGCCAGGGTGACCCCATGATCTTGGGGCGGTGACAGCGTGGGGCCAGGGCCAGGGTTCGGGGCAGAGCCACAATCTGTCGCCCTCATGTCTTTGCGATGGGCACTAGTTCCACAGGCAGGGGCATGCAGGGAGCGGACCACGGTTCTGCCCTGGCTCTGGCCCTGTGCTGTTCTTGCCCCAAGATTTTGAACCCGGCCCCGCCTGCCCGCCCTGCTCCCAGACGCAGTTTCCAACCCACCCATGGACCCTTACTGTCCATCTAACTGTGAGCCCTGCCCGGATGGCTTCCAGGTGGTCCCCATGGAGACCCCAGGATCGTAGAGCAGTGATAGCATGGGGCTGGGGCAAAGCTCTGGTTCTGTGGGCAGCGATGTGCAGGCAGTGAATTGCAGCTCTGCCCTGGCCCCATGCTGTCACTTTTCCCACGATCCCGGGGCCTCCACGGAGACTGAAGAGGAGCTGCATGGGCAGGACACGTGGCTGGCTGGAGTGGATGGGCCCATGGGTGAGTGGGGAGCTGCGCTGGAGGGCCAGGATCTTTGCTCAGTGACAGAGTGGTGCTGGGGCCAGGGCAGAGCCACAATCTGCTCCCTGCACACCCCCAACCACAGAACCAGTGCCTGTTGCAGGGGCATTCAGGCAGTTCATGGCTCTGTTCCAGGTCCTGGTCCCACGCTGTCACGGCCTCACAACCCCGTCCCAGCATCCTACCCTCACCTGCCCATCCTGCTCCCAAACACCACTCCCCGCCCACCCACCTGCCCACAGTCCCATCCCACATAGGTAGTTTTGCTGAGCTGTCAAGGGCTGGGTCAGCACCCTTCCCCACACAACAGCCATCAAAACTCCCCATGTGGCCTGCGGGCCCAAACAATTGCCCACCCCTGCCTTAGGAAGTGTTCCAGCTGAAGGCTGAATACAGACAATACAAGGTGAGCAAGGTGACAGTAATAAAGCACATAATAAGAACTAACTTCCTGAACTTTTGAAAAGCAAAAACCTTCTCAAACAAGAAAAACCAGAACCACCTGTAGGGATGGCAATAACATTTGGTGATTACATAGCACTTTTTGTCTTCAGAGTTTGTTTGTTTTCTCTTTAAAACAGATATGATCAAATTCTCAGATCTCTAGCAAGGATAGAATATATATTATCTGTCTTGTTTTACATATGTTGAAACCAACCAGAGATTTATTTCCCCAATGCAATAATGTAGTCAAACTCAGAGCAGATTGTAAAAAAAAAGCTAGAGGCCAGACCTCTACTTTTAACACTAGGTAACACCTCTTAACTGATTCACTTGTATTAAAAACAAAATACTTAGCATTTACATAGCAATTTACACTTTCCATGTACAATACAAATATTAGCCAATTAACATGGAACTAAGTCTATGCAATGTCTGTTGCTGAATTAATTTGTAAAAGCACATGGGAGCAGGGGTGGCTGAGAATGCACTGCAGGATTCCTCCTGGGAATACCTTCATCTAATTAACATTTTGCAAATAGCTATAAAGTGGTCATGGGAACGCTGCTTTAGTAAGGATCTCTTTAAAAAAACCACCAGGTGTGTGTGATGAGGGAGTTAGACTTTGGTGCTAGGAGCACAGATTTCTCCTACAATATGTAACAAGATCTTTGGAGTTGTGCAGTAGAAGAAATGACTTCAGCTTTCAACTGAATTCTAGTCTACCAGAACACAGTCTGCACCTCTGCATTCTGCCTTTGAAGGCTACTGAGTACAGGGACCGAAGTGCATCCTGCCAGCTGTTAGATGATGGCCCATGGTCACCCTGGCAGCTAACCATCTGCCAGTACAAACCAACAATTCAGACTAAATGTCTCCAGTACCCTCTGGCAGGACCTCAGCTAATAATTTTGACAATTAAAAGAAAAAAGAAAATGCTTTCTTAAATTACCCAACACTGAACATATATCGGGGGCATCCCCATACCTCCAGAAGCAGAAACTATTTAATCTTTAAACCAGCTCTCTATTTCCCAATAGCAAGATTGCATTAGACTGCAGTGTTCTTCATTGAAACCTCTAGTTTGCACTAACTTCCATTGGACTGTGATAGAAACACAGGACGGAGAAAGACCTCCTGGGCCACTGTCCAGTCTCTTGTGTTTGTAGACACCATTTACCAAAGAAATCCCCAGACTGCCACTTCAAACCTGCACATATAATTAACTACAAAGCACAATATTTGAAATGCCAAACACCACCCTGTATCTTGCACTAAGTAAAACCAAGAGAAACAAGGGCATTCCAACGCCTTACCACTGCAATGACAAGGAAGTAGTTGGTTAATATATGCTCAAAAGATCCCAGAACAGCCCCTGCTCGTGAATA